AATATAGATACAAAGATAATAGATAAACTGATTGATTGATTTTTAAATTTACTGATGGGGAAACTAGTACAGAGACGCTAACTCATCTCCACAACATCTTAGAGAAAACACTTATGAGGAAGAAGAATAAAACTCAGCACTATGGGTTTGCCTCTTACAATGATGGCCTTCTGCTTGGGAAGCATTCTCTCCATCACTGGAAGTTTCCTCATGGATCCTGGACAGCCAGAAGAGAGAGAGTGCTATAGACTGAATGCTTGTAACCCCTCAAATTTTATATGTTAATACTCTAATTTCCAACGTGATGATATTTGAAGATGGGGCCTTGGGAAGGTGATTTGGTCATAAGGGTAGAGCCCTCATGATGGTATTAGTGCCCTTATAAGAAGCTACACAAAGAGCTTGCTTTTGCTTCCTCTCTCTTGGCTCTCTGTCATGTGAGGATATGAGAAGACAGCCATCTGCAAACCAAGAAAAGAGATTCCACCAGACATCAAATCTGCCAGCACCTTGATCTTAGACTTCTCAGCTTCTAGAACTGTGAAAAAAAAAGTTTGTGGTTTAAGCCACTCAATCTATGGTATTCTGCTATAACAGCCTGAACTAAGACAGAGGGCTAAAGAAGGGATTTGAATATGGAGTTGGCCTACAGAATCTTTAGTTCCTCTTTACTCTGGATTACTATGTGCTTTTAACTGAATCTTACAGACTCTTTGTTGGATGTTGGACTACATCAAGGAGACAATAGTTGATTTATCAGTGCTTCTGTGATTTTCAACTACCTCCAAGGTTTCCAATTGTCCTTCACAAAAATACCCAGCCATGGAAATGGTGGAGATAGCCATAAAAATGTGTCTATAGGACATAATAAAGGCCATATATGAGAAGCCCACAGCTAACACTATACTCAACAGTGAAAAGACGAAAGCCTTTTCTCTAAGATCAGGAAGAAGACAAGGATGCTGACTCTTGCCACTTCCATCCAATGTTATATTGGAAGTCCTATCCATAGCAATTAGGCAGGAAAAAGAAATAAAAGGTATCCAAATAGGAAAACAATGAAGTAAAATTGACCCTGTTTGCAGATGACATGATTGTATATATAGAAAACCTTAAAGACTCCACCAAAAAACTATTAGAACTAGTAAAAGAATTCAGTAAAGTTGCAGGATGCAAAAGCACATATAAAAATCAGTTGTGTTTCTATATACTAACAGCAAACTATATGAAAAAGAAATAAAAAAAAACTTTACAACAGCATTAAAAAGAACAAAACACTTAGGAATAAATTTAACCAAGGAGATGAAAGATTAGTATACTAAGACATGTAATACATTGATGAAAAAAGTTGAGGAAGGCACAAATAAATGGAAAAATATTCTAGGTTCATGGATTGGAAGAAATAATATTGTTGAAATGCCCATACTACCCAAAGCCATCTACAGATTCAATGCAATCTCTATCAAAATTCCAATGGCATTTTTCACAAAAATAGGAAAGAATCCTAAAATTTGTATGGAACCAAAAAAACCCCAAAATAGCCAAAGCAATCTTAAACAAAAAGAACAAAGTTGGAGGAATCACACTGCCTGATTTCAAAATATACTACAAAGCTATAGTAATCAAAACAGTACAGTAGTGGCATAAAAACAGACATTTAGACCAACGGAATAGAATAAGGAGCCCAGAAATAAATACACACATTTACAATAAACTGATCTTCAAAGGTGCCAAGAACACACCATGGGGAAAGGATAATAATCTCTTTAACAAACAGTGTTGGGAAAACTGGATTCACATGCAGAAGAATAAATTGGACCCTTATTGCACACCATATACAAAAACTAACTCAAAATAGATTAAATTAAGATCAGAAACTATAAAACTACTAGAAAACCAAGGGAAAGCTCCTCGACGTTGGTCTGGGCAATAATTTTTTGGATATGATCCCAAAAGCACAGGCTGCAAAAGCAAAAATTGACAACTGGGATTATGTCAAAATTAAAAGCTCCTGCACAGTAAAGGAAACATTGAACAGAGTGAAGAGATAATCTACGGAATGGGAGAAAATATTTGCAAACCATATATCTGATAAGGGGTTAATATCTAAAATATATAAGGAACTCCAATAACTCAAAAGCAAGAAAACAAATGACCCAATTTAAAAATGCCAAAGGACTTGAATATATATTTTTCAAAAGAAGACAAACTACCAACAGGTATATGAAAAGATGCTCACTAATCACCAATCATCAGGACATGCAAGTGAAAGCCACAGTGAGGTATTACCTCACAACTATTAGAACGGCTATTATCAAAAGACACAAAAGATGGCAAGGATGTGGAGAAATGGGAATCCTTGCACACTGTTGGTAGGAATGTAAATTGGTGCAACCATTTTGGAAAATAGTATGGAGAGTCCTCAAAAAATTAAGAATGGGGGCCGGCCCCCTGGCATAGTGGTTGAGTGCACATGCTCTGCTGCTGGCGGCCTGGGTTTGGATCCCGGGCGTGCACTGAGGCACTGCTTGTCAGGCCATGCTGTGGTGGCGTCCCATATAAAGTGGAGGAAGATGGGCACAGATGTTAGCCCAGGGCCAGTCTTCCTCAGCAAAAAGAGGAGGATTGGCATGGATGTTAGCTCAGGGCTGATCTTCCTCACAAAAAAAATAAATAAATAAATTAATTAAAAATAGAACCAGCATATGATCCAGCATTCCCACTTCTGGGTATTTATCCAAAGGAAATGAAATCAGTATCTCAAAAAGATATCTGTGTGCTGTTCATTGAAGCATTTACAATAGCCAAGATATGGAAACAACCTAAGTGTTCATTGATGGATGAGCGGATAAAGATGTGGTGTGTATATATGATGGAATATTATTCAGCCTTAAAAAAGAAGGAAATCTTGTCATTTGTGGCAACATGCACGGACCTTGAAGGCATTATGCTAAGTGAAATAAGCCAGACATAGGAAGTCAAATACTGCATGACATCTCCTGTATAGAGAATCTAAAAAAGTCAAACTTTTAGAAGCAGAGAGTACAGTGGTGTTTTCCAGGGGCTGGAGGGTAGAGGAAATGGAGAAATGTTGGTCAAAGTGTACAAAGTTTAAGATATGCAGGAAGAATAAGTTCTGGATATCTTATGTACAAGAGGCTGATTACAGTTAACAACACTGTATTGTATACTTGAAATTTGCTAAGAGAGCAGATCTTGATTGTTCTCACCAAAACAAACAAAAAAATAAAAAAAGTAACTATGTGAGGTGTGGATATGTTAATTAGCTTGGTTATGGAAAACATTTCACAATATATGTTTACGTATATCAAAATATCATGTTGTACGCCTTAAACATACACAATTTTTATTTGTCAATTATGCCTCAATAAAGTTGTGAAAAAAATGCCTATAGGGATATACCTTCCTCACCATAGGACATGTTTTTACACCATTAAATTGAATTATTAAAGCCAAGTTGTGGCAGGCAAAGTATAATACACAGATCCCCAACTCCTGGTATTCACTTCTTTGAGTATTGTCCTCCCTTTGGGTGTGTGTGGGACCTGTGACTTCTTTCTAACAAATAGAATATCACAAAGGTGATGAGCTGTCACTTCCTTGATTCGGTTACATGAGATTGTAACTTAACATCTTGCTTGCAGATTTTCTTTACTGCCCTCTTGACTTGTATACTTTGATGAAGCAAACAGCCATGCTGGAGAGGCAAATGTGGCAAGGAACCGAGGGCAGCCTCCAGCCAATAGCCAGCTAGGAACTAAGGGCATTAATTCAACAGCCTGCAAGGAACTAATCCTGCCAACAACCACGTGAGCTTGGGAAATAAAGTCGAGCCTTCAGATAAGACCTCAGCCCTGGCCAACTCCTCAACTGCAGCCTTATGACAGACCCTGAAGCAGAGAACCCAGCCAAGCCTAGCCTCCTGACCCAAACAAACTGTGAGATAATAAATGTGTGTTACTTTAAGCCGATAAAACAACACACATTTATTATTTCACAGTTTTACTGTTATTAGTAATTGCACAGTTATTACCAAGTATGTGGTAATTTGTTACACAGCAATAGGTAGCTAATCTATCAGTCTAAAGTATTTGCATTTGGATCAGTTTACCAATAATCAGAGGTGCTCCAAGTACCTTAACTTATATCTTCTTACCAAGGGGGCTCCCCAGATAATTTCTCCTAGTATAATGTGTTTATTCAGAAGATAAATAACCTACTTACCATCAGAGCAGTGACTTCTCAATCCTAGCTGCATATTATCATCATCTGGAAAGTGTTTTGCTTACATTTGATTTGATTTGTTTTGTTTTTAATGCCAATGCTGGAGCCCCATTCAGGTAGGAGGGGGGTGGACTGGAAGGGATTCTTTTACTTACAGCTCCCTAGTTGTTCCGAATGGGCCGCCAGGCTTAAGAACCACTATGTTAGTGTCACATTATGTAATTGTCTGGCACTTTTAGAATGGCAGTTTTGTCCCTGTTTCCAGCATTTTTGAAGGTTCAGAAATATTGAAGTTCACTCTCAGAGTACCCAGCTACACAATTAAGAAATGTTTTTAATAAAAGAAAAGGACATTTCAGGGTCTGGTTTGAGTTTTCTCATTTTATTGGACAGGAAGAAATGAAATGCCAGGCCATCCAGTTCATGCCCCAGCCATCTGGCAAATGGAGATTCGTCTCAGAGGGACAGAGGGATGTAGCCAACTCATGATCCTTTAATGGGGAGCAGGATTAATTGGAAAAACCCAGATAATCAAAAAGTTTCATTTTAGTTCCTTTGTTCAGCCTCCTCTCTGAGCTTTTAGCAAAAGCTGAAGAAAGCAGCAAACTTACAGAATTTTACCCCTTCAACATTTCAGCCTCTAGTGCCAAGGACAACACGTTCTGTAGACACCAAAGGGGTGGCAGCAGGGGTGCAGACAGGAGAAAAGCAGGGGCTTTTCAATCCCCTCCCTGGAGAAATAGTGTCTGGATAAGCAAAAAGTGACTTTGCCACATAGTTATCTTCTTGTGTGTTGGTTGTGTAAGGTGGTGAGCAGATGGTTCTACTCAAGGATGTTTCCCATGGTCCTATAGTTCAGGAGAGTTGGAAGCTAGAAAGAGGCTGAATCTTTATACACAGAACAGATAGCTTTGGATAATGGCAGTTCAGCTGCTGTAGGACATTAGCCCTGTTCTTGAGGTAGGTAGAATTTTCCCTGAGGCCAGCAACTGACAGGACCCTGGAGCCTATGGAGTAAGCCCCCTGGCCCCTGCTGTTGGCCAAGGCTAAGGCAAGATATTAGACCAGGATGTAGAGGAAGAGGAGGAAGCCTGGGTGATAAAGAAAGTCATTCTTTGCTTCTCTCCCTTCACACCTCCAGTTCTTACAGTTCTGGGAGGCTTAGTATATGACACTGCCTTCTTCACCTCTTATTTTTTCCTCAATGAGCATTCAGTTAGTGTCACTCAGTAGCGCTGGCCACTGAGGATTCAGAGATGAATTAGCCACAAACCCTGCCATCAGGGAGCTCACAAATTAGTGAGGGTGACAGAAACAAGAGCTAACCAGAAAGAAATGTTGTCAACACTAGAATGGGCGAGTGCCCCACACACTGTAGGGTCACAGAGGAAGGAGTAATTGATTCCAAGTAGGGGGTTAGGGAAGGCTTCACAAATAAGAGTTTGAATGATACTTAGTTGTTGCGCCATGTGAATATAACTAACACTACTGGGCTGTACAATTAAAAACAGCTAAGATGGTAAATTTTATTATGTTTTTTATCAACTAGAAAAAAATGATCTTTAGCAGAACTTTCCAGTTGAGACTAGACTGGATAACCCAAGTCTTCTCAATAGCTACCCACTTCCAAACTATAAAATTTTTAAAATTACAACAGTTGCCATGGGGGAAGAGAATCATGATAGACTCTGAGCAGATTCTGAAACCTGAATAAGATTTTCTGAGATAGAGGGAACAAAGAGAGGCAGAAGGCAGTGGACTAGTATAAGGAAAGACGTTCGGTATTGAGTGAATCGTATCCAGTGTGGTTTAGGATGAGGGGGTATAATGAGGGAGGGAGGAAGGAGGAACTAAGATAATGATTTGTTTTTATTGAGATAAAGTTTGTATAACAAAAAATTTGACTATTTTAACCATTGTAAGATGTATAATTAAATGGTTTTTAGTATATTCACAATGTTGTGCAAACATCATCGCTATCTAATTCCAGAACATTTTTTTTTCTGAGGAAGATTGTCCCTGAGCTAACATCTGTGCCAATCTTCCTCTATTTTTTATGTGTGACACTGCCACAGCATGGCTGCCGATGAGTGGCGCAGGTCCACGCCCAGGAACCGAACCCAGGCCACGGAAGCGGAGCACGCTGAACTCAACCACTAGGCCACAGGGCCGGCCCCTAATTCCAGAACATTTTTATCATTCCAAAAGAAACCCTGTACCCACCTCCCATTCACTCCAGCACCTGGCAACCACTAATTTACTTTCTGCCCCTTTCTTTTTCTCTTCTCCTTCTTCGATTCCCATTATGTCTATGTTGGTAAGCTTGGTGATGTCCTCCAGGCCTCTTAGGCTCTGTTCATTTTTCTTCATTCTTTTTTATTTCTGTTTCTCAGACTGGATAATCTCAATTGACCTATCTTGCAGTTCACTGATTATTTGTTCTGTCTGTTCAAATCTGCTGTTGAGCCCCTCTAGTAAATTTTTCATTTTAGTTATTGTACTTTTCAAGAAACTCCAGAATTTCTATTTGGTTCCTTTTTATAATTTCTATCTCTTATTGATATTCCCTATTTGGTAAGATATTGTTCTCATGGATTCTATTTTGTTTACTATTTGTATACTTTAGCATTACTTAAGAGGAGAAGCTTCAGGGTTTCCTCTTGACCTTCCCTGCCATAATATTCTTATGGGATCCAATGTGTGGGCATCTGCCAGATGCTAAGAATGTCTATTCCAACTACATACTCAGGAGCTGGGGAAAATAACCACAGAATGAGTTCACAGACCCATCCGACTTACTGTGAGATGGACTTGGGCCAGAACACCACTTACTATCTAACCCCTATAAGCATCCTCTCCGACTGTTGGCTCAGGGATAGCTCAGCACCGTTATCCAATCCTATAAAGGTTTTAGGATTTCCCTTTCTCTGGTGCACATTTATACTGGTGAGCACCTGTAGGTCCTCGATAGATGACTAGGAAGATTTATAGCATCCTGTAATGTTACCACGGGGTCTTTCTTCAAGGGTTCCTAATATCACCTTTAATCAAGGGGCTCTATGAACTATCTCAGGTCTTGCAGTTGAAGAGGTATGACTATCCCATAAGTACAGACTCAAGGCAGGCCTCTGTTTGCCATTATTTATATATATTTAGTAGGAGGTCCATCAATTTTTCAGTCCTGGGAACTCCATGATCCATCATTTGGATGGCCTCTTGAGTCATGCTTTCTGTTAGTTAAACATGAACTTTGTCTCTGGAAGGTGGGCACTGCTACCTGGTTTTTGTACCCTAGGACTACATTCCACACTGAAATCAAGGACCCATTTCAATGGCAGCATCTCCCACATTCATCTCTGACCTTCAGAAGATGGCCACCTCCACTTTCAAGGATAGTAATACTCAATACTTTCTTTTTTCCAGCTTTATTGAGATATAATTGACATATAACATTGTGTAAGTTTAAGGTGTAAAATGTGTTGTTTTGATACACACATTGCAAAATGACTACCACCATAGCATTAGCTAACACCTCCATCACCTCATATATATACTATTACTTTTTTGTGGTGAGAAATTTAAGATATACTCTTAGCAACTTTCATGTATACAATACAGTATTATAATCTATAATCACCATGCTGTACATCACATCCCCAACTTAATTCATCTTATAACTGGAAGTCTGTAATCTTTAGCCAACATTTTCTCATTTCCCCCACTCTCAGCCCCTGGTAATCACCATTCTAGACTCTGTTTCTATGAGTTTGACTTTTTTGGATTCCACATATAAGTGACATCAGATAGTATTTGTCTTTCTCTGTCTGACTTACCACACTTAGCATAACGCCCTCAAGGTCCATCCATGTTGTTGCAAATGGCAGGACTTCCTTCTTTCTCATGACTGAATATTATTCCATTGTATATCTATGCCACATCTCCTTTATCCATCCATCCATTGACAGACACTTAGGTTGTTTCCATATCTTGGCTATTGTGAATACTGCTGCAATGAACATAGGAGTGTGGATATCTTTTTGAGATCCTGTTTTCATTTACTTTGGATATATACCCAGAAGTGAGATTGCTGGATCATATGGTAATTCTATTTTTAATTTTTTGAGGAACCTCAAACTGTTTTCCATAACAGTTGTAGCAATTTACATTTCTGCCAACAGTGCAACAAAGGTTTCCTTTTTTCCACATTGTCACCAACACTTGTCATCTCTTGTCTTTTTAACAATAGCCATTCCAACAGGTGTGAGGTGATATCTCATTGTGGTTTTGATTTGCATTTCCCTGATGATTAGTGATGTTGAACACATTTTCATGTACCCATTGTTTATTTGCATGTCTTCTTTGGAAAAATGTCTATTCAGATCCTCTGAATGTTAATCTGATTGGTTTCTTTCTATTGAGTTGTATGAGGTCTTTATATATTTTGAATATTAACCCCTTATCAGATATACGATTTGCAAATATCTTCTCCCATTCCATAGGCTGCCATTTAATTTCATTGATAGTTTCCTTTGCTATAAAAAGCTTTTTGGTTTGATATCATCTCACTTGTTTATATTTGCTTTTGTTGCCTTTGTTTTGGTATCAAATCCAAGTTCTTTGCCAATATCGATGTCAAGGAGCATACCCCTTACGTTTTTTCTAGGAGTTTCATGGTTTCAGGTCTTACATTCAAGTCTTTAATCCATTCTGAGTTGATTTTTGTGTATGGTGTAACATAGTGGTGCAGTTTCATTCTTTCGCATGTGGCTGTCCAGTTTTCCCAGCACCATTTATTGAAGAGACACCATATATCCTTGGTTCCTGTATTGTAAATTGACCATACATGTGTGGGTTTATTTCTGGGCTCTTGATTCTGTTCCACTGAACTATGTGTCTGTTTTTTGCCAATACCATACTGTTTTGGTAACTTACAACATTGTAATATAGTTTAAAATCAGGCAGTGTGATGCCTCCAGCTTTGTTCTTCTTTCTCAGGTTGCTTTGGCTATTTTGGGTCTTTTGTGGTTCCATACAAATTTTAGGATTGTTTGTTCTATTTCTGTGAAAAATGCCATTGGAATTTTGATAGGGATTGCATAGACTCCTTTGGGTGGTATGGACATTTTAACATTATTAATTCCTCCAACGCAAGAGCATGAAATGTCTTTCCATTTATTTGTGTCTTCTTCAATTTCTTTCTCAATGTCTTATAGTTTTAAGTATATGATCTTTCACCTCCTTGGTCAAATATATGCTTAGGTATTTTATTCTTTTTGATGCAAATGTAAATGGGATTATTTACTTAATTTTTATTTCTGATATTTTGTTGTTAGTGTATAGAAATACAACTGATTTTTGTCTATTGATTTTGTATCTTGCAACTTTACTTAATTTATTAGTTCTAACATGTTTTGGTGGAGTCTTTAGGGTTTTCTAATATAATAGCATGTCATCTGCTAACAGAGACAGTTTTACTTCTCCATATTCAATTTGAATGCCTTTTATTTCTGTTTCTTGCCTAATTGCCAGGCTAGGATTTCCAGTACTCTGTTGAATGAAAGTGGTCAGAGTGGGATCTTGTTCCTGATCTTGGAGGAAAATCTTTTAGCTTTTCACCATTGAGTATGATGTTAGCTGTGGGCTTGTCACATATGGCCTTTATTATGTTGAGATACATTCCCTCTATAACCACTTTGTTGAGAGTTTTTATCATTAATGGATGTTGAATTTTGCCAAATACTGTTTCCTGCATCTATTGAGAGGATCATATGATTTTTATGTTTCATTTTGTTAATGTGTTGTATCACATTGATTGATTTGAGGATGCTGAACCATCTTTGCATCCCTGGAATAAATCCCACTTGATCATGGTGTATAATCCTTTTAATGTATTCTTGAATTAAGTTTGCTAATATTTTGTTGAAGATTTTTACATGCATTTTCATCTGGGATATGGGCCTGTATTATTATTTTTTTTGTAGAATCCTCATCTGGTTTTAGTATCAGGGTAATTCTTGCCTCATAAAATGAGTTTGGAAGTGTTCTGTTCTATTTTTTTTTTTTTTGGAAGAGTTTGAGAATGATTGGTGTAGTTCTTAAATGTTTGGAAGAATACACCAGTGAAGATATCTGGTCCTAGACTTCTGTTTGTTGGGAGGTTTTTGATTACTGATGCAATCTCCTTATTAGTAATTGGTCTATTCAGATTTACTACTTCTTCCTGATTCAGTCTTGGTAGATTGTATATTTCTAGGAATTGATACCTTTCTTCTATGTTGTCCAATTTCTTCACATATAATTGTTCATAGTAGTCTCTTATGAGCCTTTGTATTTCCGTGGTATCTGTTGTAACATCTTCTTATCTTTCATTTCTGAATTTATTTGAGTCTTTCTTTTTTTCTTGGTGAGTCTAGCTAAAGGATTGTCCATGTTGTTTATCTTTTCAAAAAAACAGCTCTTAGTTTCATTGCTCTTTTCTATTGTCATTTCAGTCTCTATTAATTTATTTCTGCTCTGATTTTTATTTCCTTCCTTCTACTAATTTTGGGCTCAGTTTGTTATTTTTATAGTTCCTTGAGGTGGGAAGTTAGGTTGTTTGAGATATCTTTTGTTTCTTAATGTAGGCATTTGTCAATTGAACTTCCCTCTTAGGACTGCTTTTGCTGCATCCCATAAGTTTTGGTATGTTGTATTCCATTTTCATTTGTCTCAAGATATTTTTTGATTTCTCTTATAATTTCTTCTTTGACCTACCTATTGGTTGTCAGTAGCATATTGTTTAATCTCCACATATTTGTGAATTTTCCAGTTTCCTTCTTGTAATTGATTTCTAGCTTCATACCATCATGGTTGGAAAAGATGCTTGGAATGATTTTAGTTTTCTTAAATTCACTAAGATTTGTTTTGTGGCCTAACATATGATCTATCCTGGAGAATGGTCCATGTGTGCTTGAGAAGAATGTGTATTCTGCTGCTGTTGGATAGAATATTTTATAAATGTCTGTCAAGTCCATCTGGTCTAATGTATCATTTAAGTCCAATGTTTTTTTTTATTGATTTCTGTCCAGATGATCTAGCCATTGATAAAAGTGGGGTATTGAAGTCCCCTACTATTATTGTATTGCATTATACTTCTCCTTTAGGTCTGTTATTATTCATTTTATTAGATGCTATGTTGGGTGCATAAATATTTACAAATGTTATATCCTCTTGTTGGATTGACCTTTATCATTACATAATGACTTCTTTGTCTTAAGCTCTATTTCGTCTGATATAAGTGTAGCTATCCCACTTTCTTTTGGTTTCCATTTGCTTGGAATATCTTTTTCCATCCTTCACTTTCAGCCTATGTGTGTTCTTAAAGCCTAAGTGAGACTTTTATTTTTTTTTAATCCATTCAGCTACTTTACGTCTTTTGGTTGGAGAATTTAGTATATTTACATTTAATGTAATTATTGATAGATGTGTACTTACTGCCATTATGTTAGTTGTTTTCTGGCTGTTTTATAATTTCTTTGTCCATTTCTTCTTCTCTCCCTCTCTTCCTTTGTGATTTGATGATTTTTCTGTAGTGGTAGGCTTAGATCTCTTTTTCTTTATCGTTTGTGTATCTACTGAAGGGTTTTGCTTTGTGGTTACCATAAGGCTTGCCTAAAACACCTAAGAATTTTATCAATCTATTTTACACTGATAACAACTTAAGTTTGAATACATTCCAGAGCTCTACATTTTTACTCTCCCCCCCATTTTATGTTTTTGATGTCACAATTTACATCTTTTTTATCTTGAGTATCTATTAACAAATTATTGTAGTTACAGTTATTTTTTTACTACTTTTGCCTTTTAACATTCATACTAGCTTTATAAGTGATTAACTCACCACCATTACATTGGATTATTCTGAATTTAACTGTATATATACCTTTACCAGTGACATTTATATTTTCATATGTGTTTCCTGTCACTAATTAGTGCCCTTTCATTTCAGCTTAAAGAAATCTTTTTAACATTTCTTGTAAGGCCAATCTAGTGGTGCTGAACTCCTTCAGTTTTTGCTTGTCTGGAAAACTCTTTATCTCTCTTTTAATTCTTAAGGGCAACTTAAACACAATTGATTTTTATATACAGATTTTGTATCCTGCAACTTTACTGAGTTCATTTATTAGTTTTAACGTGTATTTCTTGGTGGACTCTTCAGGGTTTTGTTTATATAATATCATGTTCTCCTTCAATTCTGAAGGATAGCTTTGCTGGGTAGAGTATGCTTGGTTGGTAGCTTTTTTCTTTCAGCACATTGAATACATCATCCAAATCCCTTCTGGCCCACAAAGTTTGTGCTATAAAATCTGCTGACAGTCTTATGGGGGTTCCCTTGTACATAACAAGCTGTTTTTCTCTTGCTGCTTTTCAGATTCTCTCCTTGTCTTACCTTTTCACAATTTAATTATAATGTGTCTCAATGTGGGTCTCTTTGTATTCATCATTTTTGAAAATCCGGGCTTCCTGGATCTGGATATCTGTTTCTTTCCCTGGGTTAGGGAAGTTTTCAGCCACTATTTCTTTGATTCAGCTTTCTGCCTTTTTCTCTCTTCTCCTTCTGGGGCCCCAATAAACGTGTATATTGGTCTGTTTGATGGTGTCCTTTAAGTCTCTCAAGCTATCTTCAATCTTTTTTCTTTTGCTCCTATGACTGGATGAATTCTACTGCCCTGTCTCAAGTTCACTGATCTTTTCCTATGACTGATCTAGTCTGCTGTTGAACCCCTCTATTGAATTTTCCAGTTCAGTTACTGTAGTCTTCAGCCTTGTGATCTGTTTTGTGCTTTATAATATTTTTCTCTTTGTTGAAATTCTCACTTTGTTCATGCATTGCTCTTCTGACCTTGGTGAGCATCTTTATGTTTGTTAATTGAACTTTCTGTTACATAACTCACACGTCTGTTTCTGGAGTTTCAGCTTGTTCTTTAGTTTTGAACGTATTCCTTTGTTTTTTCATTTTCATTGACTCTCTGTGTTTGTTTCTGTGCATTAGATAAAACAGCCACCTCTCTCAGTCTTGACAGAGTGGTCTCGTGTAGGAGATGAACCTCATCTATCAGCCTGGCCCATGGCTGTCTTTCTAACCTTTGTGATTATCCAAGCCACCTTCTTTGTTCTTGTGGCTCCTAGTAGTAGAAGGTGTGCCAAGACTTGTCCGAGTCCCAAAGGGGAGGATTGCAGTCAGCACCTACATGCAGGCCACTTGGAAGCCAGACCCTCAGGCAGCAGCTGGGAAAGTATGTAGTTAGGTGTCTTCTAGGGAGAAATGGGAGGTAAGCATTTGTCCTGCTCCCTCTGCACTGGGCCCAGGTGTACAGCTGTGTGTGGGTTCTCCTGAGCCTGTTAAGAACTTCATTTGCTACAGTTCTATGGGACTTATGAACACAAATCCCACTCACTATCAGAGCCAGGCAATTTGGAGGCCCGTCCCCTGGCAGCAGCCACAAAAGCTGGGGCACAGACTTGTGTACAAATTCCTTCTAGGGAGGCACTGGTGACTTGGAGCAGGCTAGAGAGAGAGGGCAGAAGAGGTGTCCACTGGCTTCCTTGGTCTTCAGGAAGGATTGCAGTCAGCCCCTAAATGTGTGCTACATTAGAAGCCTGACCCTCAAGCAGCAGCTTTTAAAGTATTCAAATAAACTCCATTCATGGAAATATTAGTAAATGGGTATTTTTTGCCTGCTCCATCTGCTATGACCCTGGTGTGATAGGTGAAGTTATGCCTGTGCCTGTTAATAACTCATTCTTTGTTTGCTATATTCTTGTTGGTCTCATAGACGCAAACCCCATTGGCTTTAAGAGCTAGGGGTTTTAAGGCCCCATCCCTCAGGTGGGAGTCCTCAAAGTTGGGGTGGTAGATGCGGGGCCAAAAACCCTTCACTTCTCTAGGAGAAGCTGGCATTTGGGGTTCCCCCCCGATTATGTGGCACTGTGCCATGGGTGGAGTTTATGGCAAGAATGTGTCTCAGCCCTTCCTGCAGATTTTGATGCATTTTCTTGTTCCCCTGATGTGTAAGAGTCACTCAGCTAGTTTCTGGCTTTCTTTCAGAGGAAATTGTTCCATGTATAGCTGTTTATTTGGGGTGTTGGTGGGAGGAGGGGAGTTCAGGAGCCTTATATGTTGCTGTCTTTAAGGATTACCTCAATACTTTCTAAACTATGTTTGTTTCTTGGTTTTTTCCCCTAGAATGGGGAGATTTGAGCATGGCAGGAGTCCCTAAAGAGGAAAAGATTTATGATAAAAGAGGGAACAACGGTGGAGCCAGATTTTGAGAGGAGCAATATGAACTCAAGATAACAGGGAAAGGGTTTGAAACTGGATGTGGTCCCTTCCTTTGAGGTGGGGAGGAGAGAAAAACTAGACAATTAGGCAAAACTAGACAGTATGAGTGATATGCTAGGAAGTTGATGAAACACATTTCTAATGGACTATATTTTCTTGGTAAATTTGGAGGAACAACCAACAACTCATTGTGAAAGAAAAGGAAGTGGCTCAGAAATAAAGAAAATGAAAAAGAGCTGGGATGTTGTATGGTGATTGGAAAGGAGGCTAAAAACTGACAAGAAAATTATATGGAATCCTGCCAAATACTCTTATTTCTGACATGTACTGGGCCTTTCTGGTGAATATCAGTAACAAAAAACATTCTTGTAAGATCTATTTAGTGCTCACAGAGTGTCAGGCACCACCCTAAACATTTATATGAATAATTTTATTCAATCTTAAGAACAGCCTTTGAGGTAGAAGTGATTTTTATCCCCATTTTACAGATGACCAAGTACAAAGAGAGAAATGAAGATGGAGTTGAATCCTTGACTGGCCATTTGTACTGGTTGAGTTCATTGGGCAGTTTAATTACACTCTTGAAGCCCCATACTCCTCTTGGACAATGGGGATCAGGATCACTATTTTATAAAATCATTAGGAATATTAAATGAGATCATATGTGTGAAAAGCCTAATACACGCTGGGTGCTTGATTTTTTTTTTTTTAACCATCATAGTCTATGGACTGATTAAAAATCATTGTGATCTGAGTTTGTGTTCTCTCTCCCCAAAGGAAGACAGGGCCTCGCACCACAGAAGTGAGAATCCCTGTCAACTTCTACTGTTAGCAGGCAACGTAAATGTGTGACACAGCCTGGTGTTTAAAAAAAAAAATGGAGGGAGCATTAGCAGTAGAGATAGTGGCCCAAACTGCACTCCAGCAAAGGTGTTCACATTCAAACACACTGTGGAGGCCCAAGAAACCTCACCCCGCACTAGCTGTGCCCCACACACTGCAGCTAGTGACTCCTGGGGACTGCAGTTTAGAGTCTAGATTCACCTGCCTCTTTCTTATTATGCAACTTGAGAAAAGTCATTTGGCCTCCTCGAAACACAAAGTTGAACGAAGCAATGGCCTGCATCTCAGATAATGCTACAACAGGCTGGCTCAAGGGTGTCAAGCTCTGAGTAATTCTTGGAGTTTTCTTGCATAAAAAATTCCTACTAGCACAATCAACAGGTAACAAGGGCTATGGTAAGATGACAATACAGCAGACACCGGACACCTGGGGAGTTCCCTTTGGCAACAGATTCGAACATATTTTTGAAGACACTGATTAATGAAGATGCTTGTCCCTGTGAGGAGCAGGCCAGGAGAACATTGCTTTTCTGCAGGTGTGCTGAGAGATGGGAACCCGGGGAGTGACGGGGAGGTGACATCCCAGCGGGGACAACAGATGAGGATTCAGGCCAGTCTCCTAAATGGTGTTGCTCGCAGATGCCTCCTCTGGAGGATCTAAATAGCCTTTCCAGGCCAAAGCTGGAAATCCTGAAATCTCCCTGACCCAAAAGAAACACACATTGCTTTACTGTTGTGGCTGAAATATTGCTCATATTTATTGAAAAGGCAGAACATAATGTAGTGCATCTGTAGTGATCCAGCTTCCACAGCTCTCCAAACCCTGGCTGTAAATCACCCTGAGGCTTGTTATTCAAGCCTAACAAAACAGCTCTAATGAAATATCTTTATGAAGAGTAAACTAGAAGATGCACCTTCTAATATACCACATTATGAAGAACAGAGCTAATAAAGTAGTGGCAGAAGCTTGGACATGAAGTGCCCTTGAGCAAAAGTTCCCATGCTCTCTAGTCCAGGGTGTAGACTTCTCCCCTTCGGCAGTCGCCTGCCACCAAGACTCAAGTGAAACAGGCTCATATCCCAGACTGGCTGCCAGAGCAAGAAGGACGTGGTTTTCCTAAAGGCAATGGAATGGAAGTCTGACAATATAACTGCCATTTCCGATGGAGAGGACAGCAGAATCAGGCCCTGCAGGGCCTGGGGCCATCTATGGGTGGCAGATCTCCTGATGTGCAGCTTCTATCTGGAACAGCAGTGAAGGGAAACTTGTGGGTTTGGAGGTCCATCATCAGAAGATAACCAAGAGACAGCCACTCAGCGGACTTCTTAATAACACAGGGACTTGATCAAATGTGCCCAAGTCAAGGCCTCAAGTGACAGGTATTGAGAATACCTTCTACATGTAGTACTCTCTTTAAAGGTTTCTTTCCAAAGAGGGTGAAGTGCTGTGATTGTGTAGAGGAACTGACACAACACAAGAGGACTGATGCGCAAATATTACTCCCAGGGGACAGACAGTCCTGGTGGGTGGAAAGCGTGTGCGTAAAGAAGCAGATATGGGAATGCCTGGAACAAACCCTTTGGGAGCCTGAATGGGAATGAGGCGTCTCTGCAGAACAGAAGTTCACAGCATCTTGGGTCAGCTCACCTCGAATTCAGAGAAGTTGGAAGCAATTACTGAGCAAACAAGTTAGAATTTAGCAGTGGCTGAAACATTGCTCAGGCTCTTCTAACTTAGGAGTATGGTTTGATGAAACATGACAGGCCAATAAAGGCAATTCCCCTCTTGATTAGTGTGACCCCATAGGTGTCATCTTCAGCTCCGTGTAGCTGGTGTTGGATATCAGGTATAGTTCATCTTGTTTAATTACCTGCCACCCCACTCCCAACTCAATTCCCTTACCTGTGATGAGCTCATTAAGTCTTAATAAGCCTCAGCTGTGAGGAAATGATGGCTGGAGTAAGGACACCCTGCACATGTTTGTTTATAGGCATCCTTGGGTGCTTTGTGAGGCCACCATTCTTCCAAAGCTCTGGAAAATGAGACAGCAAAAGGTTCCACGAATTGATTCAGATCACTCCTCCAAACTAGTGATTGTCCCGGAGCTCAGAGCTGAGACCACTCTGCCTCCCCTCTGAAATAAAGGCCAAGCCCCTCGAAGTCTCATACATTAAGAGATTCTAAAATGTTCTTTCCCCAATAAGTGCACTTCGCAGGCTGCTCCTGGAAGCTGGTGACAGGCCCCAGGCAGGGACATGGAGCTCCAGGATCCTGCTGCCCCTGGACTTCTGAGCACTGTGTCTGGGACCAGGCCAGCAACCAAGGGGAAAGCAAGGCTTGCTGTTTAAACCAACTAGACGCTACAAAAGGAGTACAAACATCTTCTACAAGATTTGAAATATGTGTCCATACAAAACCACCATCACTCCATTCCCTGGCGGCAGGCGAGGTGACCCAGTAGGGCTGGGCCCGGCCACCATGCAGTCCCACTACCCCCGCAGGTAGGAGCTGCGTGCCGGCTCCCGCCCCAGGGCATTGATGTGCGGGATGGCTCCCGCCGCGGCCGCCAGCTTCTCGCTGAGCTTCTGGTTCACCAGCTCCAGGTGGCGGCCATTCTTCCGCGCCTGCCTGAGAGACCTCTTAACCTTCTTCACTCGGTCCCGGAGCTGCCTGTTCCGCTTCTCCAGCGTGGCCACCTTCTGCTGCAGTTTCTTGACGTGGTCCTCCTCCTCGAACAGGGCCTTCTGCACCGAGGAACACATGAGCTGGGGAAATAAACGCCATGGCGGGAGAGGCAGGTGAGTTTCAGAAAACCTCCCCAGCTAAGCATCCCTGGATGCTGCCAAGCCCCCGGCAACACAGCCCCTGAAATCACCGACAGCCCCGACCCCAGGAGGACATCCTTCATGACTCCATCCTCCATTCACCCTGTGAGCCCCGCCCTGACCTCAAATACAGAACAGAGCCCCTCTTTTGCTTTCTACAGTTGGGTTCCTTGGACGATTTTGTTTTAAAGAGATATTCTAAATATTTGTCACTCATATCAAAAGGGAAAGAACTCCAGGAAATCAGTAAAAGACCAAAACCTGAAAAAAATATACAAAGAATGTGGACAGTTCACAGGAAATATAAATTTCTCTTAAACATGTGAAGAAGCTCAGCCCCATTCCCAATCAGATAAATGCAAATTAGAGCCACAATGAATTGCTGTTTTTCACAGACTGGTAAAATCAAGGAGTCAGGATGTGGGGAAGTAGGCACCCTCAAGCTGTGGGTAGAGCATAAACTTCTATAAAGAGCAATTTGGTGACATCCATGCAATTCAAACTGCATCTATACTTTGAACTAGTCGTTCTGGGGCTTCATCTTACGTAAATACTCCCATGTGTGCAAACCACCACATGCACGAACATGACAGTATTTGTTAGAGATATAAGAAGACTGAGGAGGGATGTTAGCATCATGGTGGCATAAAATGTCCCTCGTTTTTGTCCCCCCCCAACAAAATTTGGCATCCATCCATGAACAAGTGTCTTTGAGAGAGCTGTGGGATCCAGCAATCATACATCTAGGGATGCAGGAGGAGTCTCACCCACCCATGTATCAGGTAATAGGCAGACAGACCTCAGTCCAAGCTGTGGACCCTGCAGCTCCAGAATCTCTAAGGCAAAGGACCTCAGCAGATATTTCTCCAATGAAGATATACAAAATGGTAACAGGTACATGAAAAGGTACACAACATGACTAATTATCAAGGAAATGCAAACCAAAACCACAATGAGACACTACCTTATACCTTTTAGGAAAGCTATCATCAAAAAGACAAGAGAAAGGCTTCCAGTTCAAGATGGTGATGTAAGAGGATCCTGGACACACCTCCTCCCATGGATGCTCTGAAGCTACTGCTACCAGGACAATTTCCTCTGAAAGAAACCTAAAAACTAGATGAGCAACTCCTACACACTGGGAAAATGAGAAAAAAACCCACATTGAAACAGAGGCTGAGACATAATCTTGCCATAAAATCCCTGGTGTGGCAACCCACAAGCGGCAGGGAACTCACAACACCAAGATTCTCTCTGAGGAGTGAAGGATTTGAACCCCACATTGGGCACTCTAATTTTTAAGATTTGTACCTGAGAGATGAGTCCCCAAAGAAAGCCAATGGGGCTTGTGTCCACAAACCCACAAGGCTATAGAGAACTGAGAAATAGTTCTTAAAGGGCTTGTGTGCACGGGAACACCCACCCCAAGGCCTAGCACAGAGGCAGCTCACTGAAAAGCAACCAGGCTTTCTGAGAAAGAGGTCTTATTAGCTTATCTTCACAGGTGCCTGCAGCCTGAGGGGCAGGTTTCTAATTAACCACACATCTAGGAGCCAATTGCAACCCTCTCCAGAGACTGAGGTGGCTGGTGGATGCCATCTTCATGTTCTCCCTCTGCCCCACCCCAGATTGCCAGTGTCTCCATGAAAAGAGCTTGTGCATATGTCTGGTGCCCCAGCTTTTGTGGTTGCTACACAGAGGACACATCCCTTGGCAGCCTAGCTCCAGTGGCCAGCGTAACTTGTGTTCATGGGTTCAATGTGACGAATGCAACCAAATAAATGGTTCTTGAGAGCTTGTTTGGAGGTTCTAGTAGGGAGTGCAGCTACTCGTATACCCTTGACCAAAGAATGGTCCTCCTCTATTGGAGAAGGTCATCTTTTTCAAACGAGCATGCAGCTTTGGGAGAGATGTACATGGAGCAGTGAGGGAAGAAGGGGACACCTGCCTAGCCAGCCAGATCAGCCAAATCAACCTCGGCAATCAACGGAGTGACAGATGTCGCAGCCAGATTGCCCTTACATCCCCAAAGAAACAGTTCTCAACTGGTTATTACCCCAGGGCTCAGTACAGAGAGAGCAGTCAGAAACGACCATCTCCCAGTCTTCCCCTGAAAGAGGAATATTTGCATACTTTAAAAGCTGCTGCCTGAGGGTTTGGCTTCCAATCAGCCTGAATCTAGGTGCAGACTGAGATCCACCCCCTTGGGACACTAACAGGTCTTGGCACACCCTCAACTACTGGGAGCCACTAAGAAAAAAAATAAATCTACATGGACAATCACAAAGGTTTGAGATTGACAATGAAGAGGTAGGGCCAGGTAGAACAACAAGGATCATCTCCTACATAAGGCCACTCCTTCAAAAATGGAGAGGTGGCTGTTTTATCTAGAAACCAACACAGAGAGTCAAGGAAAATGAAGAAACAAAGGAATATGTTCCAAACAAAACAGCAAGATAAAAACTCAGGAAAAGACCTTAATGAAACAGAAATAAGTGACTTATAAGATAAAAGTTCAAACTAACAGTGATAGAGATGCTCACTGAGCTCGGGAGAACAATGCAGAAACAAAGTGAGAATTTCAACAAAGAGAAAACATAGAAAGTACCAAATAGAAGTCACAGAGCTGAAGAATACAATAACTGCACTGAAAAATACTGAGGGGTTAACAGCAGACTAGATGAAACAGAGGAAAGTATCAGCGCACTTGAAGACAGGGTGGTGGAACTCACCCAATTAGAGAAACAAAAAGAAAACAGAATGAAAAAGAGTGAAGATAGCTAAAGGGACTTATAGGACATCACGTGGATTCATGTTATAGGGGTCCCAGAAAGGGAAGAGAGAGAAAGGGGCATAAAATTTATAAGAAATAATGGCTGCAAACTTTCCTAACCTGGGGAAGGAAAAACAGACATCTGTTTCCAGGAAGCCCAGAGAGTTGCAAATAAAATGAACCCAGAGACCCACACCAAGACAAAATTAAAGTGTCAAAAGTTAAAGAAAAGAAAAAAAAAATCTTAGAAGCAGCAAGAGAAAAACAACTTGTGTTTACAAGGGAACCTCCATAAGACTATCAGCAAATTTTTTTAGCAGAAACATTGCAGGCCAGAAGGTAATGGCATGATATATTCAAAGAGCTGGGGAAAAAACACTCCTGCCAACCAAGAATACTCTATCTGGAAAAACTGAAGGAGAGATAAAGAGTTTTACAGAAAAGCAAAAGCTAAAGTAGTTCATCACCACTAAACCAGCCTTACAGAAAATGTTAAAGGAAGTTCAAGGTGAAACAAAAGGGCACTAAACATATGAAAATATAAATCTCACTGGTAAAGGTAAATATATAGTAAAATTCAGAATAATCTAATGTTGTGAAGGTGGTGGCTTAATCACTTACAAAGCCAGTATGAAGATTAAAAGATAAAAGTAATAAAAATAACTATAACTACAATCATTTGTTAGTGGATACACAAGAAAAAAGATGTAAACTGTGACATCAAAAACATAAAATGTGGAGGGGAGTAAAAATGTAGAGCTTTGAAAATAAGTTGTTATAAATATAAGTTGTTTTATGTAAGCCTCATGGTAAACCACAAAGGAAAAACCTACTGTAGATACACAAAAGAGAAAGAGAAAGGAATCTAAGCCTACCATTACAGAAAATCATCAAATCACAAAGAAAGAAAGCAAGAGAAAAAGAAAGGAATGAAGGAATTACAAACAGCCAGAAACAATAAGCAAAATGGTGATAAATTCATACCTATCAATAATTACTTTAAATGTAAATGGACTAACTTCTCCAATCAAAAGAGTGACTGAATTAAAAAAAATAAAAATAAAAAACAAAGACCACCAGGGCATGGTGGTTAAGTTTGTGCGCTCCGCTTCGGCAGCCCAGGGTTCGCAGGTTCAGATCCTGGGCGCAGACCTATACACCGCCCATCAAGCCATGCTGTGGCGTCCCATATACAAAATAGAGTAAGACTGGCACACATGTTAGCTCAGGGAAAATCTTCCTCAGGCAAAAAGAGGAAGATTGGCAATGGATGTTAGCTCAGGGCCAATCTTCCTCACCAGAAAAAAAAAAAAAAGAAACATTGGCCTTAAGTGGCACATTAGACCAGATGAATTTAACAGACATATATAGAACACTCCATCCAAAAGCAACAGAATACACATTACTCTCAAGTGCACATGGAACATTCTCTAGGATAGATCATATGTTAGGCCACAAAACAAGTTTTATTAAATTTAAGAAGACTGGAATCATATCAAGCATCTTTTCCAACCACAACGGTATGAAACCAGAAATCAATTTCCAGAAAACTGGAAAATTCACAAATATGTGGTGATTAAACAACATGCCACTGAACAAGCAATGGGTCAAAGAAGAAATCATAAGAGGAATAAAAAGTTACAAAATACCAAAACTTACGGGATGCAGCAAAAGCAGTTCTAAGAAGGAAGTTCATAGTGATAAATGCCTACATTAATAAGAATGCGTCATATAAATAACCTAACTTCATACCTCAAGGAACTAGAAACAGAGGAACAAACTAAGCCCAAAGTTAGTAGAAGGAAGGAAATAAAGATCAGAGCAGAAATAAAGGAAATAAGAGACTAAAATGAGAACAGAAAAGTGCAATGAAACTAAGAGCTGGTTTTTTGAAAAGATAAACAAAATGGACAATCCTTTAGCTAGACTCACCAAGAAAAAAAAGAGAGAAGACTCAAATAAATAAATTCAGAAATCAAAGATGAGATATTACAACTGATACCACAGAAATACAAAAGATCATAAGAGGCTACTAAGAACAATTATATGCCAAGAAATTGGACAACATAGAAGAAATGTATAAATTCCTAGAAACATACAACGTACCAAGACTGAATCATGAAAAAACAGAAAATCCGAAAAGATTGATTACTAGCAAGGAGATTGA